ACTCCTTTTGTTGGTGAGACTTTTAAGAAAACGTGCTCTTCTACCTGAAATTTCAAATCTCGTCTCTGTGTATTTGCATAGCTTTTCTGGAGACTTTGAGCTGTGCGAATTTGCTGTTGGATGAGTTAAACATTATCACTCGTTATTTGCACGATTTCGAGGCCTAATAGTTTCCTATCTCCGACTTCTGCCCAACATAGAGGTGATCGACATCTCTTTCCATACAATGCTTCATATGGTGCCATACCGATGCTTGCGTGGTAGCCGTTGTTATAGGCGAATTCCACTAGAGGTAGGTGCTCATCCCAATTACCCTTGAGGTCTAATACGCACATCCGTAGCATGTCCTCCAAAGTCTGGATTGTTCTTTCGGATTGCCCATCAGTTTGCGGGTGATAAGTAGTGCTAAACTTCAGTGTTGTTCCCAAAGCTTCTTGCAATCTGTTCCTGAAGTGAGATACGAAGCGAGGGTCTCGGTCAGACACGATTGACACTGGGGTACCATGCAATCGAATGATTTCTTTGATGTATAGAGTGCTGAACTTAGTAAGGGAGTACGTGATTCTGATTGGTAGGAAATGCGCTGACTTCGTTAATCGGTCTACTATAACCCATATCGCATCATTCTTTGAAACTGACTGTGGTAGCCCGACCACGAAGTCCATAGTTATGTGCTCCCATTTCCATTAAGGAATAGGGAGTGGTCATAGTATCCCTGCAGGTCTCTGATGTTTCGCTTTAACACGTTGACATTGCAAGCATTTGGTGTTCTCTCAGATTGTGATACATCTTGGTGTTGCCAGGGTGGACTGCAAATCTCGAGCTCTGAGCCTACACCAATATTTTCTTCTTGAGTTCTGGTACGTCGGGTACGCAAATTCAATTTTGAAATTTTAGCATCCCATTGCTTATAGTGAAGTCAGCATTAGGAGTAGTTTTCTGCTCCTCGTACTTTTTCTTCAAAAGTTTGTCTTCACCTTGGCGTGCTTTAATTTCTTCAATCCATGTGGGTTCCACAATTACGTTGGCGAACAGTCCATTGATCTTGTGGGGGACAAGGATACATGCCAAACTTCTGGTAGTCTTTCAACTTAATGCATCTGCTACCACGTTAGCTTTGCCCGGATGGTGATAGATCTCTACATTGTAGTCCTTCATAAATTCTAACCATCGACGTTGCCGCATATTCAGTTCCTTCTGTGTAAACAGATATTTAAGACTTTTGTGATCGGTGTAAATCTCGCAGGTTGCACCGTAGAGATAATGACGCCAGATTTTGAGGGCAAAGATTACTGCAGCCAATTCTAGATCGTGAGTTGAGTAGTTCTTCTTGTGAGTCTTCAGTTGTCGCGAGGCATATGCAATGACTTTTCCATTCTGCATAAGAACGCAACCCAACCCATTGTATGAGGCATCGCTATAAATTACAAACCCATCAGTTCCTGTGGGGAGTGCTAGTATAGGAGCTGTCACAAGCCTATTTTTCAACTCCTGGAAGCAACGTTCTTGCTTGTCAGTCCATTCAAAGGGTGTGTTCTTCTGAGTTAGCTCGGTCAAGGGTGCTGCTATCTTCGAGAAATCTTGAACGAAGCGTCGATAATAGCCGGTTAGACCCAAGAAGCTTCGAATTTCGGACACATTAGTCGGTCGTGGCTAATCTATGATTACTGTAACTTTTTGGGGGTCAACCGAGATGCCATCTTTGTTGATGACGTGGCTGAGGAAGTGTACACTAGTGATCCAGAATTCGCATTTCTTTAACTTGGCATAAAGTTTGTGATCACGTAATGTTTGTGATCACGTAATGTTTGCAGCATTGTTCGTAAGTGTCGCTCATGATCCTCTGGTGACTTGGAGTATATGAGAATGTTGTCAATGAAGACGATGACGAACTCATCAAGATATGGTTTGAACACTCGGTTTATGAGGTCCATGAAGGTCGCTGGAGCATTTGTGACGCCAAATGGCATGACAAGGAACTCATAGTGTCCGTAACGTGTTCTAAAGGTCGTCTAAAGGTCGTCTTCTCGATGCTTTCCGTTTTGGCTTTCCGTTTTGACTTTTAGTTGATGATAGTCGGAACGCAAGTCGATTTTGGAGAATACTTGGGCACTTTGAAGTTGGTCAAACAAGTTGTCGATTCTTGGCAAGGGGTATCGATTCTTGATGGTGACTTTGTTCAGCTCCCGGTAATCGATGCATAACCTCATCGTGCCATCTTTTTTCTTTACGAACAGTACTGGAGCTCCCCATAGTGAGGTACTTGGTTGAATGAAACCTTTGTCTAGGAGTTCCTGGAGTTGGGTTTTTAGTTCCTTCAATTCTGTCAATGACATGCGGTAAGGAGTTTTTGAGATTGGTTGTGCATTGGGTTGAGTGTTGATGGTGAACTCGATTTCTCGATCAACTAAGGTACCAGGTAAGTCTTCAGGGAAAACATCAAGAAATTCTCGAACGACCGGTATTGAATCGAGTGTTGGGTCCATTTGTTGAGCGTCGACCACATAACAAATACAACCACCACAACCTTTTCTCAAAAGTCGTTGGGCTATCACAGAGGATATTAAATACGGAGGGGTAGAAACTCCAGTTTCTTCGAAAACCAGCTCGCGTTGGTCGGGTAACCGAAGAAAGATCTTTTTGGTCGTACAGTTGATAGAGGCATGGTTGGCAGCAAGCCAATCCATCCCTAAGATTATGTCGAAGCTACTAATGCAGAGTGGAATTATATCTATATACAAGGTTTCATCTTTTAAGGATATAACACAGGACTTGTATACCTTTGTACTAAGTGCGGTGACAGCAGATGGAAAAAGCCAAAGATAATGCATATCCCAATGGTTCAGGTGTTGATGTTAGCTTGGAAACAAAGTGTGGTGCCACAAACGAATGAGTGGAACCAGAGTCAAAGAGAACACGAGCTAAGTGACCACAGACAGAAAGTGTACCTGTCACAATGTTCTCCGTAGCATTGGAGTTCTGGGTACTAACACAAAAGCTCTTCCTTGGCATCCCTGTTTCTTTTTCCCTCCTGTGGCGATTTCTGGTTTCTGAGCTAGTTCAGAGGTACTTGTCACAGAGTTTGTGAATTTCGGGCAGTTTTTTATCACATGGCCAACTTGGCAACATCTATAACATGCTCCTATTGCCCGATAGCACTGTCCCCTATGAGCCTTTCCGTAACTCGGACAATTTGGAATGGTGCTACCCTTGGGAATAGTAAAACCTTGGTTGGCCGAACCAGTTGAGCTAGTAGATCCGGGATTTACTTTCTTTAGTGGGGCTGCCCTTGATCCTCCGACTAGTTCCCAAAACTGCCTCTTTTGACCCATTCCACTAGAACGTGTGGTTTTAATTCCTTTTTCGGTGATATATGCTTGATCCACCACCTCTGCATAGGTTGGTAGTTTTAGAACCTCGAGCCTATCTTTGATTTCCGCATCTAATCCTGCTTCGAATTTCCTTGCTTTTCGGGCTTTTATCGGAATAACATACGGTGCAAATCGTGCTAGTCGTGTGAACTTACTTTCGTACTCCGCCACCGACATTGTTCCTTGCCTCATATGTAGGAACTCAGATGCCTTCTACTCCCGTAGTGATTCTGGAAAATACTTTCATAGAACACCTCTAGGAATCGCGCCCAAGTCACGATCTCTTCTTTTTCTAAGGTAAGAAGCCATTATTCTTGCGCATCTTCCTTGAAGGTGAAAGTGGCAAAGGATACTTTATGTTCTTTTGTGTAGGGTAGGGCACGAAAAATCTTCTCCATTTCTTTAACCCAAGCTTCAGCTATCAACGGATTTGAACCTCCTGTGAATGTGGAAGGATTCAGGTCTTGGAATTATTTAATCATAGTTGTCCCTTCTCGATGTTCTGGTGACCCATTGTTCTGCAAGGCTTGCAAGAAACTGGTAATAGCTCTATCCACAATCCGTTCCATTGGATCGGCTTCATTGGATGATGACCCGGTACCATTTCCATCGTTAGCCATAGCTATAAAACAATTTTAATAAACGGGGTGCATGATTTCTATTAATTACCTAAATTAAAACATATTCACATAATCTACAAAACATGGATAATATATACATTATTCACAAAACACCAGTTTTTATTTATGTATAATGGTGTTGGTACATTACTTGTAGTTATGTGAATTTTAATGCCTAGCCCTTTATGACAAAACGGGTTAGAATTAGGTCATGGTCAGCTTGCTTAGACACCAAACAAAAGAAAAACACAAAAACAACAAAAGAAAGGATTTTGTTATCAGGATCTTAGGTTGAAAACAACCATGGATACTGTAGCTGCATGTGATGCTCAAACTCCCACCCGTTTTGCTCTATGCCAAAAAATCACCATGCCACCTCCACTTAGTATATGGGATGCCTACCTTGTAACCCCACAATTGTCGTTCTATGATACGCACAGGTACCTCCACGTACGTCGTAATGTCACCAAAGTCAACCGTCTGAGTGTCAATTAGGTTCTGAGGGGGAGGGACTCTTGCTTGAATGTGATCACTTAAGAAAGCATGTCCTCGTCGAGCCATAAACTTTGGAGGTAAAGGTGCTACTAAATAGCGAGGATATTCCTGACTCAGGGCCATGCCTATTACCCGTGTAGGTACTAAAAACCTATCTAAGGTACTCATAGCGTCAACCCTCCACCACTGTGTGTCTACTACTATGGGGACAGCCCTTAAGTATACTGGTCGGCCCATAAGTCGGTTGAGGATCGGGTCTGCCAGCCTAACTATTGCTTCAGAGTCTCCTATTTCCTTTGGTAAGTTTGGAACGTAATTGTTATTTTCAAAAATTCCTTCAATGTCCGGGGGATCAGGCCCATACCAAAAAGAGTCGCCAAAGTTAAGTTCTGACATTGCCTACACCACAGGATGCCCAACTTAGCTATAGAACCAAGAAAAGACTTATCACTATAAGCACTAAGGTAAGACCGTAAAGACTAAGGTAATTTTTTTTTTAAAAAAAAAAAAAAACCATTGCTCTGATACCACTTTTGTCACGACCCATCTCAATGACCAAGGCTGGATCGCGACTAGCTAAGCCTAAAATCCCACAGTTGTAATTCAAAGTAATTAATTTAAATTATGCAGCGAAATAAAATAAAGGAGGTAGATTAATATCCAAAGCGTACATAGAAATTATTATTTATGTAACGATGTAACATCAGTTAGATAATGATTACAGGAAGAAGAAAAAAAACATGATATCTATAACAAATTTGAGGTTCTGATCCACAGGATAAAACCATCATTCTTTAAATTTCTTCACCTGAAAGGAGTTTTAACAGTTATAAGCACATGAAAGAGTGATAAATATTATACTGAGAGCATGAGGGTATAAAATCACCATGGATAATTATCTAGGCTAAATGATAAATAGTTTGGTTTGAATAAATTATTTTTAATAACAGACATATAACACAAAATTATATAAACAAAATAATCATAACCACGGTACAGAACAGAACAGAGGGTCAATGGATCCATGACAGATAGAGGGTCACTGTAATAACCCTCACCATTGATTACTGATTAAGCTACTGATTACTGCTAAACTGAGACTAATCATGATAAGTAATTAAGCTGACTGAAAAGACTGAACTAATTGATTGAATGTGCTAGTTTAAATGCATATCTACCTATTGACTGTTAAACTATCTGTTCATGTTTTATGCTTTAAACTGCATAAGCACATGAAAGAGTGATAAATATTATACTAAGAGCATGAGGGTATAAAATCACCATGGATAATTATCTAGGCTAAATGATAAATAGTTTGGTTTGAATAAATTATTTTTAATAAAAGACATATAACACAAAATTATATAAACAAAATGATCATAATCATGGTACAGAACAAAATAGAGGGTCAATGGATCTATGACAGACAGAGGGTCACGAAGTGACTAATCAAAGGGCCAAAGATTATTTAAGTCCTCCAAGGTATGAATGAGACTGTTAGAGGGTCACTAAAGTGACAATTCAGAGGGCTAATGATTATTTAAGTCTCCAAGGCATGGGACCTCCGTGGTGGTACTTATTCAAAACAAAAGTTTATAAAATCATGTCAAATATTTTCTGAAATTTGAGCAAATATATCCATGGGTTTTAATTTAAGCAAATAAAGTTTAGAAAATAATCCACGTAATTGAAACATTAACATAACCATAAAGCATGAATTATATAGAATAAATTTGTGGTAACTCAAAACATTCTTAAAACATATTATGATAGTTCAAGGTATAATATAACTCACTTAAATAGTAACTCCTATTCGTGCTCCCTTTCACCGCGTGCTGATTCTTTCCCCCAATTACATTTGTTTTGTGTTTTTTTTTGTTTTCCTTGATTTCCTATTCACCTAAACTCCCCCATTTATACTAAGCCTCATGCTTGCTCAGCAAGTACATAGGGTGACACGTTGCCTAAGCTAAGTCATTATGGTGCTTACGAGGTATCCCTCAGATATGAGATATGAACTTATCCCAAATGGATAAGTTTAATTAGTTTATTTATTTATTTATCTTTGGCCATAATTAAACCATTAGATTACATTTTAGCACACGCCATTTAAATGTTTTCTTAGTATTTTTATTTTTATTTTTATTTTATTGTGTTTATATATTATTATTATTTTTTTATTTTTTTTTGTAAATTAATTAACCAATTAGGGTGTCACAGTTTCTACTCTTTTATTTGAAAAATTACATTTATCCTTTGTCAGATTAAAATGATATGTTTTCCCTTATAGAGGGTCCGAAATTAAACCCTAAATTAAGTATAGGTCTAAGTGCTGAGGTTGGCCTACTGAGGTGACTAAGAATAAAAAAGGAGCACAAGCTAAATGCCCAATGGAAGTGGGCCAACAGTGGGCCGAAGCAGGTCCAACCCACCAAGGGTCCAAACAGACTTCACAAGGAAAATGCCTAAGTCAAGTTGTAGAGGCAACACTTACAGCAGACTCCACGAAGGAAAATGCCTAAGTCAAGTTGCAGAGGCAACACTTGCAGCGGTCAAGTTGCAGAGGCACTTTGCTTCAGCACTGCCATTCACAATATTGTCGGCTCCGCCGCCCTCTAAAGTTGCTGAGGAAAAGAGAAAGCCAAAGCAACTAGGTTGCAGAGACAGCACTTGCGACGACAAGTTGTAGAGGCACTTTATCTCAGCGCTGCCATTTCAAGTATTGTCAGTACCATCGCCATTCCAAGTATTGTCGGTACCGTAGCCATCTGAAGTTGCTGAGGGAAGGAGAAAACTGAAGCAACTAAGTTGTAGAGATAGTACTTACAGTGCCCAAGTTGCGGAGGTGTTTGTTCGGTGTCGTCGTTTCTAATATTGCCGGTTCTTCCGTTTGAACTTGCCGCGGGAAATGACTGTCGCAGTAACTACAGCCCCCGCAACTAACATGTAGAGGGAACCTTCCGCCAAGATGATAATAGCCTTTGGGAGAAGCTTCCCCTCTGCAAGTAGAGACTAATGCTTGGGACTGATAGCAGGCCCCAAAGTTCATTGACTTGGCACTGATAACAGGCCCCAAGACTTATTGGTCGGAGCTGATAGTAGGCCCAAAAATACTTGTTTACCGTAGCAATCCCGCAAAGATGGGAGCAAGGTAGCCCGCGTGTAAGGGACTCCCTTTCCATTACCTAGGCCATGGACCTGCCTTAGTCGCACTCTAAAGAAGCCTCCCTGGGCTTGGTACTAAGGCACAACATGGCTAATAGCAGGCTTGGTTGTGCCCATCGCCTTGGGAAGTCGGGGAGTTTATGGTTAGGTGGTTAAGGGTGAAGGTTTTGCGGAGGTGAACACGAACATAGCCGATAGCAGGCTAATGGAGTCTTGAGAATGCATGTACTGGCTAAATAGAATTGAGAGGCAAGTGCAGTAGTAAGGTTTACCGCTGCAAGTGCACTTGCTGAGGTTCGAGCTGAGAACGCAAGTGCAGCGGTAAACACTCTCCCTGCAACTGCACTTGTTGAGGCTCAAAAAGGAGTTGCAGTGCCAAACACTCCCGTCGCAACTACACTTGTTGAGGCCCGAAAAAGTAGTTGCGAAGGCAAACAAATAGTACATAGTATATGCAGAAGGACACGTGGCACCTTCAGCCTGGTGGCTCAAGGCAGAATATTCTGTGTGATCCTTAGGGACACCTGTCTTCTCTCTATTTGGCCACTTGGTGTCTTCTTGGTACCAAGGAAAAGCCTATAAATAGGACCCATTTCCCAAGGTCCAAGGAGAGGAATTTTGAGGATTTGGGGGAGATGCTACCTATTTGTGCACTGCCATTCATTTCTGGTTGAGCTCCCTGCTTCACCCTCACATAGCTATTCACTCTCCAGTCTTTCCACCATTGTTAAACCATTAACATAGTTTTGCCTCTTTAATCATCTTCCTAACCTTGAACCCCCCTACATTTCTAGCGACTCTGCTGGGAAGGCTGCTTTGTTGATGGTTCATACCCGCAATAGCTTACATACTTCACTGGAAAAAATAGCAGAGGATGAAGTTCAGCAACCCCCACGGCAGCAAGACTCTTCCAATGACAGAGCAACACATGGTGAGGACCATGACCACAGTGTTATAGTTGAGGTGGTCCAGTCACTTCAGGATATGTAGAGGGAGATCCTAGCAGCTTTGTAAACTCTCACCGAAGCTATTATAGCCATGGCTTCTAGACCAGCTCCAGTGCAAGAACCTCTGCCTGTAGCAGTCCCAAACACAGTGCCTAATCTGTTCCTTGGGAATCAGGCTCCCATCTAGGTGCCTCCGGTGGTACCCTAGACAAACGATACAACTGTTGGTTCCGCTATCCAAGAGCAGACTGAACCATTCTAACCCACTCACTTTGTTACTCTAGCCGAAGTACATGCTATGCTCGAGCAAGAGCGTAGCAAGAGACAACTACCATCTCTTCCTGACCCAAATGTGATGCCCCCATACTCTCAGGAGATATTGGTCATGCCATACCCAACTGGGTATACAGTAACCAAGTTTATCAAGTTTGATGGGAAACAAGGCAATACCAGAGAACATGTGGTGAGGTTCATTAAACTCTTAGTGTCCATGGTAATGACCACTCTCTGAGCCTTCGGGAGTTCTCCAAATCACTCATTGAAAGAGCTTACAGCTAGCATGTGAACTTGGCCCCCAATTCGATCAAGAGTTGGGAGGAGATGGTGAACAAGTTCCATACGAAGTTCTTCCAAGTCCAAGAGAAAGATACGGCCCTCACACTTGGGTGAGACGTCCAGAAAGAAGGTGAGGATATACTAGACTATGTCAAGCGGTTCCAAGATAAGGCTATTGACTATCATGAACCAGTGGATGAGGCCTACTTAGTCAGCATATGTGTGGAGGGTGCCATACGCGACTACAAAATTTTCTTGATGAACCATAATTTGCCTACCTTTTCAGCCTTGATTGAGGCAGTTAGGAACCTCTGTACCACTGGCCGTTTGCATAGATCTCGTGACAGTCACCGCTATTCTCATAGTAGAAAAAATTACTGTGGTAACCTCTGCAGAAGGGAGCCACTCGCAAGGGAAGGCATCATCCTCTCGGAAGAGGAAGAGTTATAAGGACAAAAATCCATATCCTTGCAACCTTGAGAATGTCAAGGCCTTGGTTAAAGAATGGGTGGCCGATGGTGAACTCACTTTTCCTCTGGTTGATGTTCCCCCAACCAAGAAGGATAAAAAAATCCCAGATTATTGTATCTATCACAGAGCCACCAGATACCTTACTAAGGACTGTTGGACTTTGAAAAGTATCTTCAAGAAGAAAGTTGTCGCAAATGAGCTGAAGTTTAAAGATGTCGACAACCGTGATGTCAGGAAGGACCCTTATCCTAACCATAAGGAGAAGGGGAAAAATGTACATATGATTGGCTATCTGGGGCCTGTGCGCGATTAAGTGCACATGGCGTCCTACTATGATGAGTTCGAAGAAATTGTAACCGGCCAGCTCCCTAAAACAGTACCTGCGGAGGCAAAACTCGCGGAGGATACTCATGCTTAGGCCTGGCAAAACTCTGTTAAGTTTTGCACATTCTTTGACCAATTGGGCCTGAGCCAAGCCGCCAGGTTGGAAGCAACAAAGGCCTTCATCAACATCTCTGAAGTGCATCATCTCGAAGTTGCTGAGGCTAAGGAGTATGTGCCTCGGCGAATCCAAGAAGATTATGGGGCAATTACTTTTTCAGAGGCAAACAAAGCATATCCATTTCCTCATAACCGTCCTCTTTTTGTCACAACTTACATCAATGATGTGGAGTTCAAGCATGCTTTCCTTGATGGCGAAGCGTCCATAAACATCATCACTACCGACACCTTTGTGAAGGCTGATATCCCCAAGTCTACGATGGTCCACAAACCCATTACTGTGATGGGTTTTGGTGGTGAGAAAAAAGTGACTAAGGGCCATATTGTAGTGGACTTAGCAGTTGGCGAGACTCGCTCTGCAGCTAAGTTTCATGTGCTTGAAGCGAACACAAATTACCACATGATACTTGGCAGAGCTTGGATGCACCAATATGGGGCTATCCCGTAGAGTTATCACCAATGCGTAAAGACGAAGTTGGGAAAGCGCACAGTGACCATAAAGGCATCTAACAAGCCATTTGGAGTGAAGGAGGCACACTATTCTAATGCGGTTTTCTTTACTGAGCTGTCAACGAATAAAACTCCAAGGATTGGTAAGGTTACAGGGGTAAAGTTGCCAAAGTAGGAAGACATTCGCGATACAGAGGTTGCTCTAGACAGCAGTGGGCACAAGAGGAGTAACAAGTCCACAAGCCTGTAGACGCGCCCGCGTGGCCTCATGCTACAGTTCGGACTCGATTTGTGTCACGGTTCTTAATCTGAACCAAAGAGTCCAAATCTGGCAAATCGTTTTGAGAAACAGATTTTTGAAAAAGTAGTGCCAAACATGGACTGCTTTGCCAGATACAGAGTAACTGATCATATCTCCCCCACCCGGACTTGGCTCTAGGAGATTCTTGAGTGCAAAGTGAATCCCCGGAAGTAAGCTTTCCGACGGTGGTGGCCCCATAGATAAAATCCAAGTGTACAGATAGATAAGCCCGATTCAGCGAGGGCTGCTTGACTCGCTTGTACCCGTATTCATGCCGAACTTCTCCCAAACTAGTTTTCTCCTCTCCTTTCCTCTTTTCTTCAACTCCAAAACCCTAAACAAAGTGTTTTGAAAGATTTGCCTCTCTTCTAGCCGAAGAAACTGATTCTTTGCCCTGCACATCTCTCAACACCGAGCAAACCATTAGTAGTGCCCAAGTCTTAAGGGCGGTCAAAAATGGGGTGTCTACAAAGCCCCCCGCCCAAGATTGTTAAGGTGCGCGAGGGTGGCAAGACAGTTTACTACCTATGACAATCTTGGGGGCCAGACTTCATACCCTGGGAGGATGGCCCCGAGACCAACAAGTGTGATGGCGACGAATTCCAAGAAGGGTTAGTGGAGACCCCTGAGCCTGCTCTTGAGTGCATGCAAGACAGACCCAAACAGTAGTAGGAAGTACTTACTGAGGTATACCTTAGCAACTTACCATGGCAGAGCAAGTTCGTGTTTATCAGCGATGCGATGGCCCCAACAGCTAAGGCAGAATTGATAACACTACTGAAGCGGTACAGTGACGTCTTTACTTGGACATACAACGAGATGCCTGGTCTTGACCCATCTCTTGTCACCTATCACCTTGACACTTTTTCTAACTCTAAGCCAATAAAGCAACATGCTCGAAAGTATCACCCTGACCTTGAGGCAAAGATTAAGGAATAGATAGAGAAGTTGCAAAGGGCCAGGTTCATTAAGCCTATACAGTGCCCAACTTGGCTAGCAAATATCGTGCCTGTGAAGAAGAAGAACGGATAGATCAGGGTTTGCATAGACTTTCATGACCTGAACAAGGCCTGCCTAAAAGACGAGTTTCCATTGCCCTATGTTGACACACTTGTCGATTCTATTGTGGGCCATTAGATGTTCTCCTTCATGAATGGGTTCAATGCTTATAACTATATCAAAATGGCACCAGAAGACACAAAAAATATAGCTTTCATAATGATTTTGGAAAAAAATTTCTATAGGGTGATACCCTTTTGTTTAAAAAACTCGGGGGCATCCTATCAACGGGTTGTGACTGCAGTGTTCTATGATATTTTACATCATGAAGTCGAAGTGTATGTGGATGACCTAGTGGTAAAATCTACCGAAGCAAATCGAAACCTTTGCGACTTGGAAACAGTTTTTCAGCATTGTCAAAAATTCTGCTTAAAGATGAACCCTCTCAAGTGTGCCTTTGGAGTTACCGCAGGCAAGTTCCTTGGCTTTCTGGTACACCAACGGGGGATTGAAGTAGACGAGGATAAGATCAAGTCAATTATGGAGATGCCACCGCCACACTCCCAAAAATCCTTGAAGAAATTCCTAGGCAAAGTATCATACCTTAGGAGGCTCATCCTAGCCCTTGTTGAGATAACCTTTTCCTTTGGGACACTGCTGAAAGGGAATCACAAGTTTGAATGGTTGTTCTTTGCAAGAACACCAACAGGCTTTTGATATGGTGAAACAAGTACTTACCTATCAACTTACAATGATCTCCCTACAACCTGAAAAGCCTCTGCTACTATACCTCACTTCTACACCCCAGTCTATTGGAGCTCTGCTTGTCCAAGACATAGACGGCGTTGAAAAGCCAGTCTATTATATCAGCCACAAAGTCAATGGTGCCGAATCACGGTATACCCCAATCGAGAGACATTTCTTAGCCTTAATCTTCACCACGCAAAAGTTGCACTATTATTTTTTGGGACACCCGATCTAGGTTGTGACCAGGAGTGACCTAGTCCGCTACTTACTAAACAAGTCCACTCTGACCGAAAGAATGACAAGATGACTTTTGGCTCTAGCAGAATATGACATAACATGTGTTACTCCTAAGGCTATCAAGAGTTAATCACTTGCAGACCTGCTAGCACGATTCCCATCTGGTGAACATAAACCTGCAAAGGTACCCTTACTTGGTGAGTTCCATGTCTCAGCAGCAGCGGTCGAGACTTATTGGGATTTAAAATTTGATTGAGCCTCTAGAGCTGGGAAAGGTGGAGCTGGCATAACACTCACTAGTCAAGAGGGGGAGAAGTTTCATTTGTTATATAAGCTTGACTTTGCATGTTCCAACAACGAGGCTAAATATGGAATGTTGATACCAGGTTTGACGGCTGCTCAAAAGAAAGGCCTCCACAAGTTAAAAATTTGGGGTGACTCCAAGTTAGTTATCAAGCAAACAATGGGTGATTTCACCTTGAAGGAGCCCCTGTTGGCCCCATATCGCACCATAATTCAAAAGTTTCTCACTCAGTTTGATGATATCCAAATCTAGCACACCCCTCAAACACGCAACCGTGTTCCCGATGGCTTAGCTACACTGGGGGCAAAGGTGGATATACCAGATGATAGTATAGTCATCGTCATCGAAAAAATAATACTAGCAGTGTTAGTCGAAGGACATACAAAGCAAGGTGTTGAGGGGTGGAAAGTAGATATTATCCAACAGCTGAAAACAGGCCAAGGGACAATCAGACCAGCAAAACTTGCATCATTCCTGCTCTTCAGAGGAGAGTTGTATTTTTGCGGCCCCAATAACTTGGTAGCAAGGTGTGTCGGTAGACAATGAGCAACTTACAGACTTAAGCAGACCCATGCTAAGTCTTGTGGAGATGGAGATATCAATGTATACCGACGAATGCAGAGGCAAGGGTATTACTGGTCAGAGATGGAAAAGGAAAGTACTGAGTTGTAGAGGCAATGTGCAAAATGTCAGTCTTATCTTAAAGAAGAAGAAGCTCATTTCTTAAGTAGTGAGGAATAGAGGCAGCCGTATATTGACTATCTTAGAAACGACACACTACCTGAGAACAAAGCCGATGCAATTAAAGTTAAGAGGCGGGCCCTCCGCTTCTTCCTTGACTAAGGCAAGCTGTACCGCAGAAGCTTTGAAAAGGAACCTTTGGCGTGTTTATCAAAAGATAAGGCAAATGAAGTGCTCAGAGAAGCCCACAAGGCAGAGCATCAAGGAGTGCAGCGACTATACGAACACCTTATCCACCTCAGCTACTACTGGCCAACAATGGAGGAGGATGCCAAAAACTTTGTAAGGAGATGTCAATCCTGCCAGAAGTTTGGGAACTTGATACATACACCAGCGGTTGAACTGTACAACATTAAGACTCCTTACCTGTTTCATACTTGGGCATTTGACCAAGTAGGTCCTATAGCGCAACAATCCAAGGGCTACATATGAATACTTGTAGCGATTGAAGTTAGTACCATGTGGGTAGAGGATATACCAATGAGGAAGGCAGATGGGGCAGGAGTGGCCAACTTCATCAAGAAAAACATAATTTGTAGATTTGGCATACCTAAGGTGATGTTGTTTGATAATAGGACCCCCTTTGTGAACCGCTATGTGGAAAGGTTGTTGCATGCCTACCAAATCAAGCACCACAAGTTTACTCCATACTATCCTCAAGGGAACGGATAAGTTGAGGCAACCAATAAAACCTTCATCTGAATACTGAATAAAATAATGGATGAAGCAGGAGGCACATGGTCCGAACAACTCCCCGTACCACTCTAGGCATATAAAACGTCAAAGAGGAAGCCAACTCAGGCAACCCCATTTTCCCTAGTGTATGGGTCCAAAGCTGTGTTACCAATTGAGTTGGCAGTACCCTTAGCAAGAATGGCTTTGTCAACACACTTAGTTCCAGACAGCAAGAATAATGACATAGAGGCAGCCGAAGAAATAAGAGATCGGGCCTCGCGGGCAATGGAAAAGTATCATCAGTCCATAGCTCGCGCTTACAATCAATTTGTTCAACACAGGGAGTTCAATAAGGGGGACTTGGTATGGAAAACAGTGGACGCAATCATGCGGGGGCAACCAATCCCCAAGTTCTCTCCAAGATGGGAAAGCCCCTACAAAGTTGCTAAGGCAAGCAATATCGGGTATTACAAGTTGACAAGAGTAGATGATGGGTTCAGAACTGGTCCTATCAACGCTAAGTATATAAAGGAGTCTTTTCCTTAATTTCCTTTTGTTCAGAAAAAGAGTTGTAAGTTTCTTTGTTAATACCTCCAAAAACAAAGTGTAAAAGAATGCCATACAATTAGTAAACCTGTTACTATTGTAAGCACTTAGTGTGAAAAAAGTTTTTCATACTTAGTGTAATTTTGTCCATGTAAAAAAGCTTATGATGAAGTTTTATTCATGGCAAGAGTTTTACTTGTCTTTAGAAGTTATATAAAAGATAATGAAAGGAAGGTAGTAAAGTAAGGCTCACTATCTTTGCTTCTCATAAATATCAAAGTTTTCCATAGCATGATTACAGTGTTCAAAAGGAAAAGAAGAAGGAAAAAAAAAAAGAAAAAGAAGATAGAAACAGTACAAAGAAAAAGAGCCACAACAAAGCCCCAATACATCAAATCAAACCCTTCATAAGGGAGTCCATCAGGGTCACATCCCGAGGCAACTGAGCAACAAGCACAGATTCCTTTTTCTTGAACCGAGCTAGCTTCTGTCGATGCTGCTCCAAGGCACCCTCACACTCCTTGATAGTCTTCTCCAAGGATGCAATCATCACCACGTTGTTTGCGTGTTCAAGGAAGCCATCGACTTCCTGAAGCCTATCCCTCATCCATGATAGGTCCGAACCATTCCTCTTAAAGCCGTTCAGATTAGCCTCAACACTCTTCACGAACTTGCTGGGAGTTATCAGAATCTTCTTCGTAGCAAGGTCGCGAATGAAACTGGCAAGTGACTCCAACGACGTTGTTTGCACCATCGAGCCCGGAATGTTGAAAGCAATAAAGGTGCCAGGCTGCAGCGTCTGGATGTGGGCAAGAGTGGGAACAACTTCGGAGGAGACCCAATAACTTAGAAAAGAAACTTTCCCTAAGGACTGAGGGGACTCTCTTACACCGCCGCCAGCTTTAATTACTGGAGAGAGTCTGGAAGAGCAACCAAAGGTCTGAGGGCAGCGCACCTCCCCTGAAGATGACTGTTCATCAGCATTGGAATGAGTAGATGTTGGGAGGCGACCGGGCGAATTGATCTCGCGAGAAAAGCCAAAGCTACCAGCACTATCATGTCGCTCCGAAAAGAGGTTGTCCATATGGTAGTCCTCAACATTTAGATCTGGAACAAAAGTGGTGTCCATGCCCGCATAAAAGTCTCGTGATCCCCCAAGATTAGCTGGCACCTCAGGGAAGTGAGTGGGGTATAGATCAGCGAGCTGCTCAGAAGTTACTGAGACAACTGGGTCAGAAGCATCAGCAACATCAGTGGTACCATGAGTGGCCAAATTGACAGCTACCTCTGCGAGTTGGGCCAAATTTAAAGGGCCCATAGCAGGAACAACCGCTACATCTACACCTCCCTAAGCAACTTGAACATTGGGAAGTGGGGTCTGTGGAACTAGTGGAGACTCAGTAGACTGGGAAAAACCCCCAGTACAGCTCCCAAGGGGGGTGGTGCAACTTCCAGTGGCTCTCTTACGTCCTCTTTCGGAGTCTTTGGAACAAAATCATCCCCGCCGACGAAGGAACGATCAAAATGAACAAAATCAGCAATGTTTGGGGGCTCTGCACCCTCAGCAACTACACCACCCGCTGCAACTTTCATAGTAGGGGGACTTATTTGTTTTTAGCAAGGGGGTATCATGACCCCCTTCCATGTTTGCTTCCTTAAAAACTTGCTCAGCCTTAACAACTGGCTTAGCCTCAGCAACTGGTTCAGCCTGAGTAGTTGGTTCGGCCTCAGCACTTGGTTCTTCTTCAATGTCTGGAAGTACCATTCTGCGAGTTCTGAGTCTTGTGACCCTTGAAGTAATGGAAAGGTTGTCGTCGTCGTCGTCGTCTGAATCTAAGAAAATTCCAATGGTAGTAGAAAAAACTCTGGGTTCCGAAGGTGGTATAGCCGATGGGCCCTAAAAAGGAAAAAGATCATGTGATTACTAAAGTAAAGATAAGAAGCCCAAAGAAGTATGAAATATATATAATATTTTCCAAGTATGGATACCTTCCAGAGTCTCTTCCTACGTGGTGAGGCATGGGCCTCGACAACTAATGTCGCTGCCTCCTGGACTACCTTCAAGTGGGAGCGGGTCATGCGCATTGTTGTACTGATTAGGGGGAGACAGACATTTCCCCAAACGGATGAGGCTCTTCTACAGCAGGCAAGGACAAAAGATTGAAACAGCAAAATACACTAGTCTGCTTCCCGCGACCAGATGGGAGACAAAGGGATAAGTCAGGTTGCAGAATGGATTCCACCACAGGAACGACTGGGTTACTGTTGCAAAATTGAAAAAGGAGTTAAGGTTGCGGTGCCAAAATATCCTGTTACTAGGGGTGAAGACGCATTCTCTTTCAAGCGAGGACAGCTTTATGAGGCCTAAACCCTCCACAAGTGGTGTAATCACGAACAAACCGCTGGAAGCACTGGTGAAAATCTGTCTGAGACGGAGGGGCTTATGGGACACCCTAGTCCATACCAAACTGTCTAAGGACCCTATCCGGTCGATAGACAACACTGGACATGGCCTCCTTGTTCCATATAGGCAGAAAACCAGGGCGTATCATAGCAGTGATAAGAAGGGAGTTGGCCTAGACGCTGTAAAGAGAAAAATCAACATGACGAGCCTCAAAAAAATAGAACAGAATAATAGAGATGCCTAGAAGAAGCTGGGTAAAAGGGTGGAACACAGAACACGTACTCCTCCACGCGGTCAATGTAGTCCACGAAACGTCTGTTGATGCCAACACCAGACCACCTGGAGATACGAGGGATGGAGTGGCGCAGTCTTGTGACGGGCCATCCCTCTGTATCTAGGATAGGACGACCCTCTACATCAAGGACTTCGTTAGTAAAAAAGGGCACATGCTCTTTAGGCACGGAGCCCATGGCAGGAAACCGCTCGTAGAAGAAGGCGTTCAGGAATTGGGTATAAACAAAGCTCCATACGTCATAGTGGCCCATAGATCTCTCCATGTCCGAATGAATGAGGTCCAGACGGAAGTATAAATTCCCCAAGAAGAAGGGAGCGAAAGAGATCTAATTGCCGCTGCAAAGTTTAATAGCGAGGGGGAACACCAAGGGATTAATGCTCTCAGCAAGGCTGCTGGGAAGAACAAAAAAGGAGATGAAATAACTAACAAAGGCAGCCAAGTACTAGTTGTCATGGTAGCCCAGCCCAACTATGGATTCGCAACTGTCTTCGGTAATGTCACCCACAACCGGTTACATGTCCTTGAAAAAAAATTTTGGCTAGGAGAGGTAGGTGGTCTTGTCCTTCTTGGGCCTCTCTTAAAGCAATTCCCCAATCCTAAGATCGTACCAAGAGCCATACTTTTGTGCCTCTTGAAAGGCACTTGGAGAGCAGTGAAAACAGTCTGTTCCGCAGCAGTCAGAGACGCAGGATCAAAAGGGTAGTTCCCACGGGTGCTTTGGTGGAGGAGAACAACAACATCTTCAAGGGTTGGGGTTATCTCCCCCCAAGCCAAGATGAAGGTTTGAGTGTCACAGCTTCAGCAGTTTACAATCCTGTCAGTATTGGTCTGAACCTTGAGCACGGATAACTTCCTTGAAATCAAAATGGCCTGCTCAAAACCATTATCCACAATGATATTATCAACTAAAAGAGGCCAGTTCGCTAAAGGGCCCTGTAGACACCCCATTTTTGACCGAC